ATATTATCAAACACAAAGTCAAGCTTTTATCGGATAAAAACTAGCCATGTTGGCTTTGACTTTCCCTTCTATCAGTATCATCAAGTGAAACAAAATATTTGTTTGTTTTCTAAGCTCCCAGATAACAAGTTTTGTTACACTTTAATACTTTCAACATTTACTGAAACACATGCATTAATGTTTATTGAAAGCACTGGTCAAAATAGCCTAACAAAGAAAAATCAAAATTGCATTAAAACAGAAGAATGAATAATTTGTCTATTCATTCAATGGAATACTATACAACAATGGAAAAGAACAAACTATTGCTATGTGCAACATGAATGAATCAAGAAACTATGTTGATAGAAAAAAAAAGCAGACAGAGAGAACATACTGTACAGGTCTACATTTTAAAATTCACAAACAAGCAGACTAATCCATAGTGATACAAATGACAAGAATGGTTTACCTTTTTAGAAGGGTTAATTACTGAGAGCAGGTATCAATAGGCTTCTGGGGAAATGATCTACATACAATCTGGAAGGTGTTGATATGGGTATGTTTACTTTATCAAGCTGCATACTTAAGATCTGTACACTTTTCTACATTATGTTATGTATTAGTAAAAGTTCACTTGAAAAATGCTAGATATTTTCTGAGAATAAGTGATAAACCACAGTTAGTAGATTAATATCCTTTGATAAAATGCAGCTGTGTTAAGGAAATGAAAAAATTTCAAATATACTTTACAGACACAGTCATTTACAACTTGGCGTTAATTTATCAAGATTTAAGAGAGTTCTAAAAAATAATGTAGACCAAAGGATAAATAGTTAACTTGATAAATAAACTAATTTATAAAATGAAATTCTTTCCTATAACTCTTCACAATAAGTCAATGGGTTATACTTAATATGAAAAAAAAAAGGGTTTTGCCACTCTAACACACTGTAAATTAATGACCTAAGAAAAACCAAACACCTACATTCCCTAGTTCAGTGTTTCAGTTCAAGGGATGGCAAATATCTAAATAACTACAAGAGATTTAACTGATAACCACTGACTGACGTGTGGGTAAAATAAGAGACTGTGTCACATAAACTAATTTACTTAAAATTCAAATATATAATTTTATTGGACCTAGGATTGAGTATACTTCCATATGATTTACTATTGCTTTTAATGAATCAACAGAATTTTCATATTACCTCAGCAGGTAGTTATCAATCACATTTTTACTCATACTAACAGAGAAGTTCTGTCATGCAGGACTACAGTAATTTATTAAAGATTCTCATTTATGTTGATTGTTACAAGATAAATACTCACCAATTCTTTTCTAAGTTGAATAAAAAACTGTTTGCACTTAAAGGAAATTTTTACAGTCTTCAACCTAGATAAAAGATAAATTTGAATTTATGAAATATTATGTAGATGATAAATGAACAGAAAAACTTATTTAAAAATATTTTTAAAACAATCAACAAAATAATATAGATGGAAAACTTAAGGAAACAATTGCAAAAAATAACGTTTTAAGCTGTTGTCGTTATGTGCCATCGAGTCTCTTGTGACTCATAGCGACCCTATGTATAAGAGCCCTAAACCCTGCTCTGTCCTGTGCCAAATTTATTGTCTCTGACACACCCATTCCCATTACTCCAGTCACTGAATCGATCCATTTCATGGAAGGTCTCTTCTCTTGTGCTGTCCCTCTCCAAGGAGCTTTTCCTCCTTGCAACCTGTCCAAAGTATGTCAATGAAGGTTACGATCCTTGCCTTCAAGGAGCAGCCTGGTTTCACACTCTCTAGGTCAAATCTGTTTGTTCTAGCAGTCCATGGTATATTCAACACTCTTCTCCAGCACCACAGCTCAAAGGCATTAATTCTCTATCATCTCTAGTCACTGTCCAGCTCTCTGATGCATAGTACACAACTGCAAAGATTATGGCCTGGATCAGACACACCTTAGTTTCCAGACTGACATCGTTGCTCATCAGTACTCTGAAGAGGTCCCTGACAGCTGACTTTCCCAATGCAATTCATCATTTAATTTTCTGGCTGCTGAGAGTGTCGGTTGTGGAGCCAAGCAAACAAAAACTATTTACAATCTTGATCTCTTCACAATACATAATGATGCTGCCAATTGGCCCAGTGGTGAGAATCTTTGTTTTTTTTTATATTGAGCTTCAATCCATACTGAAGGCTGCAGTCCTTGACCTTCTGCAGTAAGAACTTCAGGTCCTCCTCAGTTTCAGCAAGGAAGGTCATCTGCATAACACAAGTTGTTGATTAATCTTCCTCCAATCCTGATGCCACATTCCTCGTACAGCCCAGCATGCCAGATGATCCATTTATTAAGATCCATGGACTCATGAAGAGAAATTACTTTCTGATTCCTGTTATGACATGTACAAACCCTGAAAACAGTACACTAAGTGATATGCAAAGGGAGCTCTGGAAATCTAGTTTCTAGATAGTGCTGCAATACAGAAGTCACACAGTTCAAATCCACCAGCTCCAAGGAAGTAGGATGGGCAGTGTCATCTCATGGGATTAAATATTTGCCCCTGAAAACCTGCTGGAGGGTCAGTTATGAGTCAGTTTCAACTCAAAGGCACAAAATAACAACAAACAAGAATATAAACAATTCTGTCTTGGAGAAACTGCAACCAGGTTGCTCTACAGAGTCAAGGATGGTCAAACTTCATCTTATACACTTTGCCCATGTTGTCAGGAGAGAGTAGTCCTTTGAAAAAAGACATCATGGTGGGAAAAGTGGAGAGTTAGCTAGGCTGGCCAAGTGATAAAAAGCTGCACTGCGACCTGAAGGCACAGGGTTCAAATTCAGTTGCTGTTCGGTGGGAGAAGAATGGGTAATCTCCTCCCATGAGGTTAACTACCTCTGAAAACTTACTGGAAGGTAATCTATAGGTAGATGACACACAACAACAACAAAAAAAGATAAAGAGAGGAAGACCTTCAACAAGATGCACTGACACAGTGACTGTAACAATGGGCTCAAAATATGGTGAGAATGGTACCGGATAAGGCAAGGTTAAGAGCTGTTGTTTATAGGGTTGTTGTGAATTGTAGATGACTTGATGGCATCTAATAACAGAAAGCATTTTATCATGTACACAAGCATGAAGTGTATTAGAAACTTCATTTCTCTTGGTTCTTGTGAAAATAACTAGAATGTACGTCCTCCATTGCGGAAGTTTTGCTAGAACATGTGCTATAAATTATATAAAATTTCCTAATTATATGATGATAATCTAAAATAATATTTATACTTTTCT